AAGTTGGTAAGGTGTTTCAAGTGAGTGAATAGGGAGTGCATTAAGCAGGAAGGGTTAGTAGTTTTGTGGAATAGGTATGTAAGAGCTATTCACAGAAAAATACATATAGTATTGACAGTGGTAAACCAAGAGCCTTGGTGGCAGGTGGGTGCAATGGTAAAATTTGACTGAGTGAAATGTAGCAGAGGGAAGATGTAGGCCTTTAACCTACTGCAGCACTGCTGCATCTTCCTCTACGGGGTCGGGGGGAAGACAGTGTGGTGGGGCTACACCACGCTGACATGGGCTAACAGCATATGAAATGGTACACAGCTAGGGTTTAAACATGGTGCCCACGTGAACACTTGAATGCAAGATTGAGAGAGATTGCACCACACCTCCAAACGCCATTGTTCATAATGTGGGTTGCATAAAATTGCATGAGATAAGTCACTTAGGACCCACACAGTTAAATCTTCCTTGAAACTCCCCGAAACTACAAATTTGCCAAATTTTGGGTAAATTCAGCCCTTCGTCTCTTTCCAAAGATGCAGCCCAACCCGTTCAATTAATATTTCAAGCTGATAAAGTTATGAACTCAAAGTATTAAGTTACACAACTTGCTTGGCTGAGTGGTAGTCATGCATTTTAGCAATGAAGACATGATCCACATTCCCTCTTCACTGGCTTCTCCCGAGTGAGAACATCAATTTTTTCTCATTTACCACATTTTGACTTTCAAAATACCCACTTTGCTCCTGTAAATCTAAATGATCAATGTGACATGTTCTGCTTAAATGGATATCTGATTATGTGTCAACAGTTGATGTAAATAGGACACATGACTAGTTATTGACATTCCCTTTAACTCTCTAACCTTCTAAGAAGATTGACAGAGGAGGCAAGTTCCATAAGAAATAGGAATAGGGGTAGGCCATTTGGCAAATATGCAACTAGCGCACATCCATTTTCTTATATGTCAAAGACATTCAGTAGCAAGTAGAAATTGCTTTTGTGATCCAAATCTCTTCCTTTGAAAACAGTGGATACCTAGATTTTCTACTCCAACTCAAAATATTTCATGAGAGCTCCCAAAGTCACTGATTCTGGAGTGCAGTTGACCTCACTTTGAATGAACCTGTACTTAAGGAGCTCATTTTGTGGCTACATAATGCATTACATTGCTTCAATTCTGCTGTGTGCAACTTCCAAATGTGGAATAACTGCACCTTGAATTTAGTAAAACGCCAAATTCTCCACAAGTGGTGACAGTTTACAATCTCTTTGCAGGTATTCATTAACAATCCACTGTTCCAGTGTGAACGCAAAAGGTGGCTGCTGTACTTTTCAGCTGTTTAATAAAGCATTACATGCGTTGACACTTTTGCTCGCTTTGACTCAAAAGAAGTAAGTCATTCATTTTCCTCTCACTCCCACTTCTACTTTGCACTGTCCTCTTTGTCTGTTGCCCCAATGTCCCCCCCCCCGCAAACCTCAGGATGTTTATTTAACCCCAAATTACTGGTGGACATCTGGTCCACTACTAGAATACTGTCTAAGTCACTCTCCTTCTCTTCCTCATCACTGATACAAGAACTGTTAATCCACACATTCCTCATCTCCCGGATCAACAACTTCTCAGCACTCTTTACCAGGGTCCTAACTTCCCAAAGTCAGAAATATGCAGCCCACAACTCTCACCCCAACCAAAAGTTCAAATCACTCCACATTCGTTTTCCTGTCTAACTACAATACTTGTTGAAGCGCAGGAGCCAATCTCCAAAATTCAACCCATATATTCAAAAAAAGTTGAAAGCACTGCCTTATCCAAACAAGTTTCTTAGAAGCCCTAGCCTTTCTTTGCTCAAGGGGGGAGAAAAAAGGTGATGGGGTGGAAGGGTTTGACATAATAGAGCGCTTTCAAGTTAAGTTTGACAGGATTTCCATTGTTGGGAGTCTAAATCTACAGCTATAAAAACAACCACTTCCTTAATGAATTTCTGAGTAACTTTGTTACGAGAAGGACTAGAATGTGGAGCTTGTTTTTGTTTGGATACTGACAAGGGTATGCTCAGCAAGGACATGAGGAAGTAATTACAAGTTTATTTGCTCGGGCAAGGTGAAGTAAATAAAATTGGATGGGACTCCTGAAGCTTAATATTGGACATAGTTGATTGTGCCACTTGGCCTTTTAGTGCAAGTTGTTTTTTTTTCCTTCTCTATTCTCTCATGGGTCATGAGCATTGCTGGCTGGTCAGCATGGATTGGTCTTCCCTAGTTTCCCTGGAGAAGGTGGTGCTGAGCTTTCTTCTTCAACCACTGGGGTGTGTGTTGTAGCTGACCCAAAATGCAATTTAGGGGAAGAATTCCAGAATTTTGACCCAGGACAGTGAAGTTACAGCAAAAACAGTGAGTTACTTGGAGAGGAATTTGCGGGTGCTGGTGTTCCCATGTATCTGCTGCCGGTGACCTGCTAGATGGAAGTGGTTGTGCGCTTGGAAGGTGCTATCTAAGGATCTTGGGTGAACTTCTGCCATGCAGCTTGTAGATCATACACACTATTGCTTGGGTGTCAGTGGTGGAGGGAGTGGATGCTTGTGGATGTAGTGTTAATTAAGCAGACTGCTTTGTCCTTGGTAATGTCAAGCTGCCCAAGTGTTGTTGGAGGACCGAGTATTCCATCACACTCCTGACTTGTGCCTTGTAGATCGTGATCAGGCTTTGAGGAGTCAAATGAGTTACTCCCTGCACTATTCCTAGCTTCTGACCTGCTCTTGTAGCCACTGTATTTGAATGATTAATCAATTTGAGTTTCTGGTCAATGGTAATCCCCAGGCTGTTGATGTTGGGGGATTCAGTGATGGTAACACCACTGAATGTCAAGGGCCAGTGGTTGGATTATTTCTTATTGGAGATGGTAGTTTCTTGGCATTTGTGTGGCTTGAATGTTACTTGCCCAAGCTTAGACATTGTCCAAATCTTGTTGCCTTTGAACACGTATGGCATGGTGGCCCAGTGGTTAGCACTGCTGCCTCACAGGGCCAGGGATCCTGATTCAATTCAGCCTTAGGCGACAGTCTGTGGAGTTTGCATATTCTTCACGTATCTGTGTGGCTTTCCTCCAGGTGCTCCAGTTCCCTCCCACAGTCATGGGTTAGGTCAAATAGCCATGGCAAAAACCCCGTGCGGCATTACAAGGATCCAAGTGGGATGCTCTTCAGTGGGTCAGTGCAGGCTTGAAGGGCGGAATAGCCTCTTTCTGCACTGTAGGTATGTTATGATGCTATGGGCTGTTTCAGTATCTGAGGAGTCGTGAATGGTGTTGATCATTGTGCAATCATCAGTGATGAAAAGGAAGGTTGTTGATGAAAAGCTGAAGACAGTTGGGCCTAACGTGCTACTCTGAGAAACCCCTACAAAGTTGACTGACCTTCAACAGCCACAATTATCAAGAAGTGCCAGCTATGACTCCAACCTGCAGAGAGTTTGCCCCTTGATATCCATTGAGTCCAGATTTGCTAGGTCTCCTTGATGCCACACTCAGTTGAATGGGGTCTTGATGTCAAGGGCTGTCACTCTCACCTCTGGAATTCAGCTCTTTTGTCCATGTTTGAACCAAGGATGAGTAGCCCTGGCAGAACCCACTGTGAGTGTTACTGAACAAGTTATTGCTGAGAAGGTGCTGCTTGATAGCAGTGTCGACGATACCTTTCATCTTGACCGATGATCAAGAGTCGACTGACGGGGCGGTAATTGGCCAGGTTGGATTTGTCCTGCCCTGTGTGTCCAGGACATATCTGGGCAATTGTCCACATTGCTGGGTAGATGCCGGTGTTGTAACTGTACTGGAACAGCTTGGCTAAGGGTGCAGCAAGTTCTGGAGCACAAGCCTTCAGCACTCTTTCCAGAATGTTATTAGGGCCCGTAGCTTTTGCAGTATCCAGTAAAACCAACCATTTCTTGATATCATGTGAAGACTGACATGTGTAATGCTACAGGCCACGGAGGAAGCTGAGATGGATCATCCACTCAGCATATCTGGCTGAAAATTGTTGCAAATGTTGTAACCGGATCTTTTCCACTAATGTGTTGGGCTCCTCCACATTGAGGATGAGGATGAGGATATTTGTGCAGCCTCCTCCTCCAATGATTTGTTAACTGTGCTCCACCATTCACGTGGCAGGACTGCAGAGCTCAGATCTGATCCATTGGTTGTGGGATCACTTAGCTCTGACTATCACTTGCTGCTTATGCTGTTTTGCATGCAAATAGTCCTGTTTGATAGCTTCACCAGGTTGACGCTTCATTTTTAGCTATGCCTGGCACTGCTCCTGGCCTGCCCTCCTGCACTCTCCATTGAACCAGGGTTGATCTCCTGGCTTGATAGCAGTGATTGCCCAGCATATCCTGCAATCAATGGGGTTGCAGATTGTGCTGGAGTACAATTTTGCTGCTGTTGGTGGCCCATAGCACCTCATGGATGCCCAGTCTGGAGTTGCTAGATTTGTTCGAAATCTATTCCATTTTACACAGCGACATTGAAAATATCCTCCATTGTGTTGTGTGGCAATGTGAGCGTGGGAATTGTGTGGTAATCACACTTACTGATACTGCCAGGGACTGATGCATCTATAGCAAGGAGGTTGGTGAGGAGGAGATCGAGTATGTGTTTCCCTCTTGCCAGTTCCATCACCACCTGCTGCAGACCCAATTTAGCACCTATGTCCATAAAGACCTGACCAGCTCGATCAGTAATGTTGCTGCCGAGCCACTCTTGGTGGTGGACACTGAAGTCCCCCAAAGAGTACATTTTGCTCCCTTGTCACTTTCAGTGCTTCCTTCAAGTGCTGCTCAACATGATGGAAGACTGATTTATCAAGGTTGACACAGCTGGGTTTGCTGTTGCTGTTTTCGGTACCTGGGTCAATGCCAGATCTCTGGTTTCATTTCTTCATTGAGACTTTGTAGCGATTATTAGTGAGCCATATAGGTTTTCCTGACAATCAACAATGGTTCCATGGTCATCATTAATTCAAGATTTATTTTAGTGAATCAGATTCCATCATGTGTGTGATGGCATTTGAACCCAGGTTCCCAGAACATTAGATGAGTTTCTGGATTAATAGTCTAGCAATAATAACACTCACTTGGCCATCACCTCTCAAAGAAAACCAGCATCATCCGAAAATAAGACTACTTGGTTAAACTAAGTGGGGATGTTCCAGGTGTCACTTCCTTTGCAATCCTCAAAAGCTTATTTATATCCCCAAATATTCTCTTCACCTGTTACCAAATATCTGAAATCTTAAGTGCCTTGTGAATAATAGCCATTTTAACATCAGCCTCAGTAGGATTAACAGCCTAGTCAATCATGAAATAAATATTAAACTAACTTTACTGTAATGAACACAAAAAAAATTCACACAGAAAATAGTAAAGAAAGTTTCCAATATGGTAAATGTAACAGATTTTTGGCTGCAATAGACGCCCGCAAAACTTTAACTCCAGCAAACATTGCATGAAGTGGAAAATGATAAAAGCCCAGTTGAAAACATGGGTGTGTGCCATGGATCTTGCTGATATTATAGGCTACAATACAGAAGTGCTGTTAATATTCAGTTGTCAAATAAGAACCAGCTGGTGTGCAAAAGGAGAATAATAAGATTTCTTTTTTTTATTTCAAACTGATAGTAATAAAATTACACTTATGTACATTATGAAAGTTTTAATTGCACACAAGTAGCACATGCACACTTTCCATTCAGGTTCACAGTCACAATTCTAGGCAATAATCTTTCAAAAACCCTCACCAGCAATCCACTGGGCAATGTTTTCTGCAATAAATTAGACTAGCAGGTCTCAGCCCTCAAGTCTCAATCTTTTTTGGATGTACAAACTCAGTCATTGACCCCTCCCTCAACTAAGAATTATTCAATGTCATATTTATTTCTATATCGCAAGGCAAAAATTTTTTTTTTTTTTTTTAAACGTGAATCTCTGATTCCCAATGAAACTGAAGCAAAAACCAGACACTCCAAGAAAATAAAAAGAGGTTAAGGCAATACACAGTATATGGCCTGTGACCTCAATACTCCTCTGCAAATTTGCTGTGGTTCACTGGCTGGAACTCTCTCTATTCCACTACCAAACAGACATTTACAGGGGGATTTAAAACAAAAGGTGGCTCCAAGTGGCAGTGCAATGGACCAGCCCACAGCAGTAATAACACATTGGCCCAATGAATCACTGTTGGTATTTGAGCTTTGTTAACTTATCACCAAAGTCAGTAAAAGGAAAGATTAGAAGGTCAGCTCTCCCTACTCCCAGACAATGGGAGGAGGAAAAGAATCTACACAAGGGTGGAGGGGTTACTATAGATCACTTAGTGGTTACTAGTAATTGTTAACAGATAGGCTATCAAAACCAAATGAAAAGCAGCATATGCCAGATGTGAATCTATCAAAGAGGAAAAATAGCTGAACAAAATACCTAGGCATTGATTTTTATTCAAAGATAGTCTCCCTGGAAATATCACAAATAATGACAAGAAGGGTAAGCATTCAACAGAAATGAGCAAATCTTTGGAATCATGAGACGACCAGTAATTACATTTAAATAAAAGGCCAGAGTTTACAATAAAAGGGGCAGTTGGTGGATTATCAGGAGACAACTTGAGTAGGGCAGCCACATAAATCAAGCCCAAACTGAGAATAATTGGGCTTGTTTGAACAAAAAGGTGTTTCATTTCCTAGCCAGATCCTGTACAGCAATTGACTTACAACAGCACCAGAATTGGGCCACAGATTTCCAGTCTTAGTGAGTCGGTGACAGCAAGCACGAGTCCCGTCAGGCCCACTTGTAGATCTTAACCATTTTTTCTGTCAGAGTCCCCAAGAAATTAATGTGATTCACCTCGAAGGGGCAGATATCCAGTACAGGCTGATCGGCTTGAAGCTTCTGGATGAGTGATCCGTTCCCTGCATTCCACACCTGCCACAGCAAGAAAGTATACACTGTTACCTGTCAGGTGCTTTCCAGATGGAAACTAAACAGGACTGCCAGCAAAATTTTAATAGGCAAATGATCTGTGTGTCTGTCGCTTCATCCACTGCAACATCCCACCCAATCCCAAGAGTCCTGCCCTGATCCTTCCATGTGTGTGGTTATAAGGAATCGAATAGCTAAGTGACAAAAATACATATACCAAGAACTATTGTCAAATTAAATTCTACAAACAACAGCAGGTTCATCACATTATCCAATAAAGATATGTAAACCAAAAAAAGGACTGTTTCCTTTCACAGATGTCAAGAAACACATTGTGCAGAGCCAGCATTTCAGTCAGAAAGCCTGCCCTACTTTCCTGAGAGACATACCATTCACATAAATCTACATAAACCCTTAACCACCCACCGAGAAAGCCAACTCTGTCCATCCACACTACACTCATTCTCACCCCTTTTCCACCGTACACGCACAGCGGTTTTCTATCAGCATCTTGACTTGCTTCGCATATACTCAACACTCCTTGGTTGCAGGTTGCTTTTTCATATAAAAAAGGTCATTTTCAGGTGACCTCAGCAAAAAAGATCAAACTGGAAGGGGTTCCTCAATTGCATAATGTTACAAATGGAATGGAAATAAAGTGGAAGCATTATTCCCTGACATGAAGTCTTCAAGGAGTTCATCAATCAATTTACAAAATACAAACAGCTTTGACTACTCATTTTTATTTTAAGTTGAGTTCAACTCTATGGGTCTTAAACCTCAATTTTCATTCAAGGACAAGGGTGCATTATGAAGCCCATTATGAAGATGTTCACTTCACAGACCCCCGCATGAATTGGGCACAACAGAAACCTCAATTACTGCTGAAAATTCATGCTGCCACCATGTGAATTAACTCAGTATCGCAACCATCGAACCAGAAAATAAAATGGGTGTCAAAGGCAGAAACAAACATAAAATATGTGAAGAGCTACCTAGCGTCAGAGAGTGCATACACTCCACTTGCAGCTTCACTGCAGACCCTGTGATCAAACACACGTATTCATACAAGACCCCATTAGCTGCCACTATCTACAATGCAACTGAAGACATCATACTGAGTCTTACCAAGAGCTGCACCATGCCACTGAAAGAACAGCTGCTCACAATCACTGTGCTAAAGAGAGGTAGCCTGTAGTCTATTATAGCAGGAAAGAGGATAATTGTATAGCCAATGACTGTCAATTAGTTGGAAGTCCACTCCAGTGTAACCCATTGCTTGGTTATAGAATTTGCCCATACTCCAAGTAGCAGCATGACTGCAGATAACAGACAGCACAGGAGCCACTGGATCGGTTTTGCCATACTGCAGCGACGAATGGTGCACCCAAATGCCCTTTAGCTTCAGATAATTGTTAGCAGTGAGTTCAAGTGGGCTCTGAATGTTTTCATCCTGATTTTGCAGAGCTGGAGGCCTGCAAGTGTAACTCCGTGCAGGAAAATCCTGTGGCTGATCCTACGGCTCAATTTGAAAGTTCAGTTGGAAGGGCTTTAAACTTTATGTTTCTACTCCTATCTGCCTGTTGTATAGCCTTCTTCCTGCAAGAAAGCAACCCTACTTCACAGATACAGGGGAGAGGAGGGTGGCTGATGAGTTCATGGAGGTTTTGGCAGAGGGATTGATGTCTGTGTTTTGAGGTGTGATATTGGAAAGATGCGCTGAAATGAAACACATGCACGTTGGTAAGAGTGGTGGAAAAACAGCTACTGAGGGAGTTCACAGAATGAAAGGGTGATAAAGTGCTTCAAAAACATTTTCATAGGCATATGAAGGAGATATGTTGATCTATATTACATAAACTTTAATGACTATACACTGCATGTTACAAGGCTGCGTTATTGCTGCTTGGATTTTTCCTGGTGTCTGGGTCACACTAATTTTCACGTGTTAAAATGAGGTCCCATTGGAAAATGTCAGAAACAAAATCTCAGCAGATCTGGGAGAATGTGTGGAGAAAGTTGAAGTACATATTTCTTGTCAATGACCTGTTAGCAACAATGTACTGTGGTGTGTTCTCTCTACACAAAGCTGTTCTTTGGAATCAATGTACTTCAATCATCATTTTGCCATGATTTTATGTTGAATGTAACAGAACACATTACCACATTTGTCCCCATTAACCTACTCAGTAGTTATGCTACAATCTTGAGGACAGAACATCAAGGAACAAAGTTTGAAACTCGATGTCCAAGAAGCAGCTGATAACAGATTAGTGGGCAAAAAAGGATGCCATCACTTACCATAGCACTGTTGGTTGCCTCGTCCCCAGCACACACTAAGACGCTGCCATCCTTCTCAGGACTTGTGAAAATGGCATTTTTAGTAAGCAGTTTACAAGTAGGGCCTGCATTGAATGTCTGGACTGGGTAACATGTACAAATCAGGTTCTCCAATGAGTCTGGGGAAGGAGTGCTTGACAGTTCCATCATAACACACCGTAAAGAACTATGGGTTTTATCTGTTTTAAAAGAGAGAAGAAAAAAAAAGATCAACCATACATTGTTCTTTCCAATTCCTTCAAGGAATGTGGGTGTTTCTAGTTAGGCCAGCATTTGCTGCCTATTTCTAATCACGCAGAGATCAGTTAAGAATCAACAACATTAGTGTGGAGCCACATGCAATTCAAACCAGGTAAGTATGGCAGACTTCCTTCCTTGAAAGGCATCAGTGAACCAGCAGATTTGTACAACAATGTTTACATAGTTGCAATTAGGCTAGCTTTTTATTACATGCAAATTTCACCATCTATGACGATGAGATTTGAACCAATGTTTCCAAAACACTAGCTTAGGATTCCAGATTTCTGGTCCAGTGACAATACCACTATACTATCATCTCCCCCTCAAGACTAGCAACAATTCACAAGTTTGTTTGCACAAAATCCTCTCCTGCCTAAAGGTGAGGATGTTTACTTAGACCTTGTTCCACAGGTACCAGCAGCTGAGAGACTAACAGTGACTAATGTTCTAACGTTGAGCTGCAGCATACAAAACCATGACATCATGGATCCTTCACAACTGGAGCTTGATGCTGCCTTCAGCTGGATGCAATACTGAACAGTTATGAGCAGTACACAACTCTGGTTGGTTCAATCCTCATTTAAGGGCACTGAAGCCAATCATTTCCCAACCAAACCAAAATGTCAAGAAGATTTAGTATCCATGCTGCAATGGCAGACCCCTTTCCTCCCAAATATTGTTTCACGTACTTGGCCTGTAAGTAACAAGACAATGCCGCATCGTGGGTTCAATCTGTATATCTGTGCAGCTTCCAACTTCCAGCGGCAGCAAGTGTGCCTTGTATGTGTTTGTAGATTTCTGCTCCCAGAAGCAGCCCCCTTCCAGAGTGCCAGCCAACAGACCACCGCATGGAAATGCTGCAGAAGCCATACGTGGGAGGTAGGACAGTGAAGTCACAGGACATCTACACAGTGAAACATACAAGGGGGGGAACAATGTTATTATCTGCAATTACCTAGGGTTGGTTGGGGGAGAAGAGAGCAAGCAAGAGACCAGACAGAGACAGAGAGACAGAGACAGAGAGGCCAGAGCACGAGAAAGAGCCACATACACGGTGGTGGTGGTGGTGGGGGAGGGAGGTGGAGAGAAGAGAGAGGGGGGTTTTGAAGAAGAGAGAGAAAATTAATAGCAGTTTATATTTAAAACAGCTTCATGAGAAGCCAGCAGCACATTGGAGAATTACAACCCGGAGCTTGAAGTTGTGCACCTGGTGATGCTTCCTGCATTAGGACTTGTCTACATCATGAGAAGAGTCTTTGTCAGCCCAAGTGCCACAGGATTGGCATTCCATTTGGTCACATGTCCTGTTGTACCTTAGCTTAATTTTACTTTTTGTAACATCAATTGCTTTAAACTTACTTTTAATTTAAACCTTACAATTGTAAAATTAGCGAAAACAAAAAAACTGCAGATAAATGCAAAGTACAAATTCATTGCCCCTACTCACAAATCAGCTCTCTCTCCAATGCTTATAAATTATTTATTTCCCTATGCTAGTTTAGGGATTTATGTTTTTCAAAATGACTAGAGATGAAACACAGTCCCTAACAACAACTTCTCATACAACTAGTTAACTCATGACTTTCCGGTAATGTCACTCAGACAATTTTCTCTTCTCCTTCTGAAGTTCAGTGTTTCCCGTGTTTTTGATGCTGATGACTGTCTCTGGGTCTGTCTCTTTCTCTCATATGCTAATGCATCAGACCCTTTTCAGGTTGAGAAGGTGACAAAATTTTCCAGTTTGGCATTTTCCAAGAAAGCTGAACACATTTTATTTTATCTGGCCAAAGAGAAGCAGGCAGAGTGAGCACACAACTTTAGCAGAATTGCCATCTTCCAAATTGTGAATGGCATCCTGCACTGTGGGCATGGTATTTTGCAGGCTGCAAGTATGTCTGAAAGGTAGCACATTCAGGACAGTTTTGACTCACTCAAACAATCCACTGGTGTGACCAGACACAACATATCATCCAGGACAATGTCTCGAATGCTCAGAGCAGTCATACTGATTCCATTCTGCAGTAGGCTGTTGTACCATCTGCATTTGGGCCACCAAAACAAATTAGAGGCTGGTAATTGGGTGACAAGGGTTATCCTTCGATGGCACGATTCATGACATTTTTTCACCCAGGAGGGTGGTGGTGGGAATGCACTTTGTGGGACAGGTAAAGAGGCAGGAAACATCACATCACATTCAAAGTATGTGAAAGAGCACTTAATGGTCTACAGCCTTGAATATTATGACAAATTCTGAGAAGTGGGATCAGTGTGGACAGGTTGGCACAGAATCGATGTGTCAAAGGTCCTCTTCTGTGCAGTGTATCATGACGACTATGGGGATGGGTGAGAAGACAGAAAAAAAGGTAAGCAGACAAAGGAATTGTTGACAGTAGGTCAGGGAAGAAAAGTAGGTGATCATGGAGAATATGAGTCGTTGAAAGTGGGTTAGCTGTGCTGAAAGCAACCGATTTCCGACAGGACCTGGGGTAGTAGGAATAGGTAATAGAATGTGGAAGAGGGCAATCACGCGCTAAAATCAGTGTTGAGTCTTGAATACTGTAAGGTGCTGCCAGACCTGCTGAGTTTCTCCAATTTGTTTTTACTTGTTTCCAATCTCCTTCAGCCACAGTTCTGTTTTATTTCAGTAAGTCAGGTGACTTCAGCCTGAAAAGTTACTCAATGGAAAAGGTGGCCTTTTTATTCTTCCACCTCCCATTCTCTGGTTCAATCACTGTGCTTCTGCAAAGAACCTTAAATCTTCTTAATGAAGGCTTTAGTCACAATAGATAAGGCAGAATTATCATTTGAGAATTACAAATTCCAAATGCATAACTATCTAGCATTTCCAACCTGGACCATTATGACAAGTGCCACAACTCAGTTCCTAGGAGATCCAGACGGTATAACAAACAAGCCACAAAAGAAAGGACAGACAGTGACTAAGCACACTAGCAAAAGTAAATTTCACAGTGTACTTAAAAGACATACCGAGAACCCTGTGATGGAAGCTCCTGGACGTGGGTTGTCGTATCCCTCATGTCATATATCAAAATGGAACCATTTATCAGCCCAGCATAGATGTAGTTTGTGTCATCTGAACACCAGCAGCAGCTCCAGACAGGGCGGCCAGTGTTGTAAGTCTGAACCACCGTATTGGCCATCAGGCTATAGAGACAGCAATTAACAGGGTCATTGCAAGCACAGGATGATGCACAGTCAATATCTTGGGACACTTTGCCACAGGAAAGAAAACAATTTTGACAAAACTTGGCTGTAATTCTGGACAGCTCCCAGTGAGTGGCAGGATGATGCTCTTTAGGAGGGTCATGGCTATAAGCACTGCCTAATTTCAATCTGGATATTATGAAGGCACTAGGGGTCAATCTGAGCTTCCCTCAGCTGCTGTACCTTTTTGGGATGCAAGACCTACAAATAAGACCATGCCTAGTTAAGGTTGTGGTGGTGTGTCTTCTTCCAATTATTTATTTTTCTTTACAATTTCTTGCTCGGCCACTTCAGAGGATATTTGGGGTGGGGAGGAATCCAAAAGTAGAAAGTTTAAGGTGATAGGGGCAAGATTTGAGAATTACCCGAGGGGTAATTTTTAATTCCAGAGGATGGTGCGTGTATGCAACAAGTTGCTACAGGAAATGGTAGGAGACGGGTATGATTACAGTATTTAAAATGAGTATATGAATAGGAAAGGTTTAGAGGCATATAGACCAAATGATGGCAAAAGTGGCTAGGTCAGATTGAGATGTCTGATTGATGCAGCTGAGTTGGACCAAAGGGTCTGTTTCTGTGCTGAATGACTCTATGACTATGCAGAATGGAATAAGAGTTATCACATGCAAGCCAAAGCAGGGTGGTACAGACCATTAAGCGAACTACGATAATGAACGAGTTGGATTGTCAACCTGACAGCTTTGGAGATCATTTTTATGGTGGCCACACATAACTGGATATATTGAATGTTTCACACCTTGTCATAGGTTGATTCAAGCTCATGACAGTTGGAAATGCAAGTCCAGTATCATAATCACTTATCTGCTCTGGTGAGCTGAGAGTTCATGTATCAACCAAGAACCTATTCATATTACCAAGAATTCGTCCTCCTAGCAAATAAGTGGTTGATGATCAGGTTAGTTATATGGCTCTGGCAGTCACACAGCAAGCCAATGGTCTGGGATCAGAATTGCATGATCATGTGATTGAAGAATGATGGCTGCCTTTCAAACCACACAACTGCAAATAGCCAATACCTTAAAGAGAAGGGGAAGAAAAAAAGCCAAGGAGTAGGTCATCTGCAGTTACTTCTGCCTGAATAGTTGTGGTGGAATGCTCCTGGAAGGTCAAAGCACCAATTTTGTTTTTGATGGAAACAGGAAGTCCAAAACAACTGATTTAGCCAAATCACAAAAAAAGTACTGAAAAATCACAAGCATCACCACCCCTAAAGAGACAGGGAAACGCAGAGAGAAAAAAAAGACAAGGAACACAGGGTAGCATACAGAGATCTGAGAAACTTGCACCTTTTCCCTCAATGCCTAAAAACATAAGTTATCAGCACTGCCCATGAAAGAATCTTATTCACTTCTCTAGATGACAAGAAAGAAAACTATCACTGGTTTTGATCCCTTCCCTTCCAGCTTGATACCCATTTACCTGGTTAATTTGACAGTATTGTCCAGAGATGCAGAAAGGAGGATACTGTCGGAGTGGTCACTGAATGCCAGACCTCTGATCTGTTTGGAATGGATAGGTACGTATTGAGTGCTGCGGAAGTTCACCCCACTTATCTTCTTCACACCACATCCTGCATAGCAGACAAATGAGGAAGCCAGAGTAGCAAAAATTGAACTATTAGGAATTATCTTAACTGCAATGCAACAGCAAATTACACGTAAATTGGTCAGCCAACATGATTTCACCTCTCCGCCAGCACCCCTGTCAAAACAGCTGATAGCCTGATCTAGAAATTTCTGTATGTGGAAAGTAGTCAAATGGTTGCTGTTCTTAATAAATGCTGTTGAATTGTAACACACACCTTCAGTGCACACAATCTTTACAAACTGAGTGGACAGATCGAATTACAATCTTTAGCATTAAGGTTTGTTAAATGCATCAGTATCATAACTTCTCATACAACAATATATCTCAGCAAACTCAGCAAAGTTCTATAAAGTAGTCTAGAATCACAGAACTCAGGGAAGAAAGGATGAAGAGGAATGAGTTCACAGCAGGGAAGAGATTAATGCAGAACAAAGGGACTGCTGCAAGAACTAATTTTTAAGTTAGGGGAAAATGAATGACTAAAACTTAAAGCAAGACATTTTAAAAGTTAGTGGAAACCATACAGTCGACATATTTTGGGGAACTGTGACGTAGATAACGGTTAACAATTAGAAAGGAGTCAAAGGCGAGAGAAACACTTGAGGTTTACCAGGTAGGAGAGTTGTCTGAGGAGAAGGTTGGGACACAACAAGACAGCTCATCAAGGAGGAGTATGCCATGACTCGACAGTTCCCACTCTGCGAAACAATGATGCCTTTTTCAAACTGGTACTTGGACTGACTCTGACTGGAAGTGATATGGCCAGTTAGGGAATTACTGGAACTGGAAGGACCTTGAGAAGCACTTGGACCATGCTTAGCAATCAGGCATCTCAGCTCCTGTAACAGCAGAGGAAAAAAAAATATCAATGCCATGCTCACAAAACAATTAAACTTGGTTACATGTGCACAACCCAACATAGTAACACAGGGGGAACACAGTCTACTGTGTATTCAAAGGACATTCAGCCTGTGGCTGTAAATGTACTTAGGACTTAATAGACAGCTGCAAATACATCCAATAGGGAACTCATTACGCACAGCTATTTTCTGCTCTGTTCAAAGCTAAATACTGCAAATGCTAGAAAAAAAGAAATGAAAACAGAAAATGCTGGAGAAACCCAGCAGATCTGGCAGTGAAGAAGAGTAATTGAAACATTAACTCTTTCTCTTCACAGTTGCCGAGTTGCTCTTTTAATTTCTGTTATTTTTTCCTATTTCATGCTCAGACTAGTCTGAAACGTTGTGTCCCTGCTCTAAATCCGACTCACCATTTAACAAATTCTCAATAGTGGCTTCAATATTACTTTCACATTTCATCACTGCTTATCTGTCCTTCATAAACGCTGCATGCAAGATATAGCTACATGCACTAGATATCAATACATGGAGCTGTACACAAACAGAGGTAATTCAATGTAGAACTACAGACATCAGGTATTAAACACTAAGCTGACCACACTGGATTTAATCCATCTCCCTGTCCCCTTTTTGTTTTTACTTAGTTGTTTGGCCCTGTGCAGAGGTCTAGAGCTCAGGATTTGAACTATGACTGTAATAAGTTTCAATAAACATTTGATTGAATGCAATATCAAAAATCACTCATCAACTCAGCAATTACAGAACATCAACACAGCTTTAACAAAGTGGATCAAATCTATAGATTTCAAATCACTAAATCAGCAGACTGATCAACAACCCAAATGATACCCAGCCTAATATTAGTGTTCAAGTACTTGCCTTGGATAATCAGATATGGGGATGATGGAGTTTTGTTTTAAATAAATGGATTGGACTGGTTTGAGGTTGACAGAGATGACAAATCTGCAGAACAGCATTCTGCAGAGTGAGATTCAAATGTTGGAAAGTTTTTCTGCCTACAAAGAGACATCACGCTATTAAACAGCCCAGCAAAATTGGATTTGGTTCCTCTTGTCATAGGCTCAAGAACCTCCAAGAGAGGATAATATTTCCAGTAAGAGAGAGTAAACTGCTAGTTCACTACGAACTTAGTCTGAAAGTTCTGGCCATTATAATGAAGAAGCTTACAACAGTCACTGAAAGAAAGAGACAGGAACTTGTTGCATTTGTGCACATGCAGTTAAAACACAGAAATTTAAGACAATGCTGTCCTGCTTTTCTGCTCGTCCATCAGATACACCAGTGCAATATTCACAGACATGTTTAATAGAGGGGAATAGTCTGTCCAAATGCAAAAATAACAACCATGATGCATCTGTGCACCTGTGATGTCACACTAGAATAACATTAAAATTTTAAACAAAAACAGGGGAACCTCTGTTTTCTCTCCACAGATGCTGGCAGACCTGCTCAGTCGATGTTTCAGGTCCAGTAACCCCTCTTCAGAGAATTTCTGTTTTTGTTTCAGATTTCCAGCATCCACAACTCTTTGTTAATTTAAATTTTAATCTCATTGAAAGAGCAAAGGAACCACAAAAGATGATAATCAATCTGTAAATTTCTTTGCAAACTGGAGCTTGATGGCTACGGAATAGATTGGTTACCCTACAGCAGCAGTGCAATGTTAACACTCCTAGACTACAATAGTTGCCAGGAGCACGAATTTGCAAAGAAATTTACAGACTTCTTAGAATTGTCTCTGTGCTGTCCTAATTTTGCAAATCGTTTCACATTTAATGCAAAAACTGTGGTGGTCCGTTTAATTATTCCCTGCTTTGAGCAACAGACTCAGTCATTTTTGCAACATTCAGATTCAACTCTCATCTTGTGTGATCACCAGCTGCAACGTTTCACCTAGTGGTGGTACAGGTAATTCTGCTATAATGCATGTTTCGTTAACATGAATTGGTTGTAACGTGACTGATGAATAGTGGACGCTGTTTGGATAACGTGAACTTTCTGCTGTACAGATATAGCGATTTCCCTATAATGCGATTTTCCATAGCAGGAGATCATGCCAGAATGCAACTATCGCATTATAGGAGGACTACCTGTATGGTCAGTAACTACGGCTTTTTTGAACTTGCACTATTTACAGAGTCTTGTTACTGTTAAAAAAAAGAAATTAAACTGTTAAGCCTGATTTAATTCCACTTCATCTCAGTTCTTAAGGGTCTTCCCTTCACTCTGAGGCTGTGACCTCAGGTCCTAGTCTCTCCAACTAGTGGAAACATCATCTTCACGTTCAGTCTATCTTGTATTCTGAAAGTTTCAATGAGATCTCTCCTCAACCTTCTCAACTCCATGGAATATAGACCTGGAGTCCTTGGTTGCTCCTCATATGACAAGCCCTTCATCCCTGGGATCATTTTTGTAAACCTTCTTTGGATCAGCTCCAACACCAGCAAATCCTTTCTCTAATATGGGGCCCAAAACTGCTCACAATATTCCAAATGCAGTCTGACCCAAGCCTTATACAGTCTCAACAATAAATCTCTTTTCTTATATTCCATTCCTCTTAAAGTGAATGCAAAACTGCCAACGGAACCTGCAAGTAAACCATACAAGAGTCCTGAATTCCAAATTCCTTTGTGCTTCAGACTTGCAAAGCCTTTCCCCATTTAAAAAATACTCTGTCTATATTCTTCCTACCAAAGTACATAACCTCACACCTTCCCACATTATATTCCATCTGCCATTTCTTTGCCCGCTTTCCTAGATTGTCCAAGTCGTTCTGCAGCCTCTCCACTTCCTCAATACTACCCGTCCTTCCACCTACCTTGGTGTAATCTGCAAACTTAGCAACAATGCCCTGGTTCCTTCATCAAAATCATTACTATATAACACAAATTGTTGTGGTCCCAACATGGACCCCTGCAGAACTCTAGTCACCAGCTGCCATCCTGAGAAAAGACCTCTTTATCTCTGGCTGACTGGCAGAAAGCAGACAGTAATTTTCCAACCATGCCTCTAACACCATGACCTCTTATTTTGTTTAGCAACCTCTTGTGTGGCACCATGTCAAAGGCCTTCTGGAAATCTACATAGATCATGTTCATTGGCTGTCTTTTGTCTAACTTGCTGGTTACCTCCTTGAAGAATTCTAACAGATTTATTAGGCCTGACCTCCCCTTGATGAAGCAGTGTTGACTCCACTATATTTTGCCATGCACTTCCAAGTATTCTGCAATCTCATCCTTAATAATGGACTCTCAAAATTTTACCAACGACCAAGGTCAAGCTAACCAGCCTATAATTTCCTGTTTTCTGCCTCCCTCCCTTCCTAAACAGGAGTTTTACATTAGGTATTTTCCAGTCCTCTGGGTACCTCCCTGACTCCAGTGATTCCAGAAAGATGACCCCAGTGCCTCCACAATCTCCTCCGCTATTTCCTTCAGAAATCTGGGATGTAGTCCATCTGGTGATTTATCCACCTTCAGACCCTTCAGCTTCTCCTTAGTGATGGCCATGACACTCACCTATGCTGCTTGACTTTTTTTTTTATTGTTTACTTGTGGGATGTAGGCGTCACTGGCTGGCTGTCCCTATTCCACCATAGTATCGGGGAGGAGTAAACACTGGATGTCAGCACTAAATCTGAACTAGATGGCTATGAAGGCTTTTACCCACCTTCCTTTTAACATGCGCATACGTGTTCAGGCAGTTCATGCTTCAGATAGAAACCTAGAGTGCCAGGGTCAGCACAATACCAGATCACTAGGCAAACAGGGTCAACCCTAAGTCTGTGTGCCAGGGCCAATTCAATATAAAGTTAGACACATGCACGAGGAGGCAGCAGCATTGTGCTGACGAGTAATCCAGAATCCCAAATTAATGTTTTGGGTACATGGGTTTCAATTCCACAATGGCAGATGGCAAAATGTGAATTTAAAATAAAAATCTGCAATTAAAAGGCAATCTAATGGCACTGTCAATTGTTGTAAAAGCCCATTGTGTTCACTGATGTCCTTTCGGGAAAGAAATCTGTCATCCTTACGCAGTCTAGCTTATATGCAACTCCAGACCTTCAGCAATGGAGCTGATTCTTAACTGCCCTCTGGGCAATACATGCCGGCTTAGTCAGTGACACCCACATCCCATGAACAAATAGGAAAATAAAAAGTGAACAGTGGAACTCTTTTATAATGAATTTTGGTCAATTTAGAACTCAATCATTATTTCTGACTAATTGATATGAGTCCACAAATATGAGTACTGACATACAACTGTAGATAAGCTGCAAGAATTGAATGCAATGCAATTTAATTATTCACTTCGCCAAGTATCAAACATCTTGGCCAAACTAGCTTTCGTGGGGAATCACAAATGGCATTCAGCGAAATAGAGAAGAAAGAATAGGGAGCATGGGGATTTGGCAGCAAATCCAAAAGGTAAGCATTTCAAAGGCAATCTCACACCTGGACTTTGCCCTTCATCTCTCAGCACAATTATCAAGGGACCATCACTCAACGGAACTACACCTGAAGATCAGACAACACTGAGCAAGCAGAATTACCTTGACGCCAACTGTGGCTTTGAATACACTCGCAAATTTAAAGCAAATTTTCGCAACTCACAGTTCACTGTCAAGCACAAACTGTGCAGACATGATGGGCAAGTACTTTGCCTCAGCATTTGGAATAGAAAAGGAGGATAGCTTGCCACAAGTCAGGAGACAATACTGGATAAACGACAGGGACGATTAATGCAAGTAAAACATTGATAATTAGGAAATTAAATGGAACTAAAAAGAGTGACAGATCCCCAGGACCTGATGGTTTCCATAGGAGGGCATTAAAGGAAGTAATGGGAGCATATTGTATATTTTTTTAACTGTAATCCTCCAGGGCTCCCTAGATACAGGAGTTGTCCCTCTAGATTGGACAACTGCATGTGTCACTCTACTTTTTAAGAAGGGCAAAAGAGCAAAACAGCAAAACCAAAGAATCACAGAGCCATTAGCTCAACATCTGTGGTGGGGAACTTGTTGAGGTCTGTAACCAAGGATGAGGTAACTGAACACCATGAAAATTTTCAGTTAATCAGGGAGAACCTTGACAGGTAGGACATGCCTGACAAACCTTTGAGACTTTTTTTGAGGAGGTGACTAAGGTCGTGGATAGGGAAATGTCTGTGGACTTCCAGAAATATATGGTGAAGTCCCACATATGAGACCATTAACTAAGGCAGAAGTCAGAGTCACACAGCACAAAAACAGACCAGTCCATGCCGAACATAATTCCAAACTAAACTAGTCCCACTTGCCTGCTCCTGACCATATTCCTCCAAACCTTGCCTATTCATACACTAATCCAAATGTCTTTTAAATGTTATAATTGTACCCGCATCAACCACTTGCTCAGGAAGTTCATTTCACTCTGTGTAAAAGATTTGCCTCATGCCTTTTTTAAAATCTCTCTCCTCTGACCTTAAAAATAATCCCCCTGGTCTTGAAATCACCCACCCTCGGGGAAAAAACAACTACCATTATTAATTCTATCTCTACCTCTCATTATTTTATACACTTCTGTGAAGTCGCCTGTCGACCTCCTACACTCCAGTGAAGAAAGTCCCAGTCTATCCAGCCTTTCTTTATTCAAACCTTCCATACCTGGCAACATCCTGGTAAATGTCTACTGGACCATCTCCAGCTTGATAGTATCCTTTCTTTAACTGGGCGACCAGAACTGGACACCGTATTCCAGAAGGGGCCTCACTAGTGTCCTGTACAACCTCAACAATAACTTGCCAACTCCTATACTCAAAAGAACTGAACAACGAAGGAAAAGCCTTTTTAACCACCCTGTCCATTAATGACGCAAACTTCAAAAGAATTGTGTACCTGCACCCCTCGGTCACGCTGTTCAAGAACACTATACAAGGCCCTTCCATTAATTGTATAAGCCCTACCCTTGTTTGTTGTACCAAAATGTAATACCTCACATTTATCCATATTGAACTCCTCTGCCATTTTTCAGCCCATTGACCCATTTGATCAAGATCCCTGTGTAATTTGAGAAAACCTTCTTCACTGTCTACTATGCCACCAATTTTGTTGTTGTCCACAAATTACTAACCACATCTTCTATATTCTCATCCAAATCATTTATATAAATAATAAACAAAAAAAAGGAGGACCCAGAACTGATCCCTGTGAAACACTGCTGGTCACAGGCCTCCAGTTCTAAAAGCAACCCTCTGCCATTACTTTCTGTCTCCTGCTGTTAAGCCAATCATGTATCCAATTAGCAAGCTCACCCTGAATCCCATGTGATCTAACTTTACTAATTAGTCTACCATGCGGAACCTTGTCAAAAGGCTTTACTAAAATCCAAATAAACAATGTCTACTGCTCTACCATCAACATCTTTTTGGTAACTTCCTCAAAAAACTCCATCAAGTTTGTGAGACAAAATTTTCCTGGCACAAAAGTGCTTATTATCCCTAATCATTTTTTGCCTCTCTAAATATCCATAAATCCAATATTTTATAATCACCTCCAACAATTTACCTACAACCGAAGTCAGACTCACGTCTATAGTCCCTGGTTTCTCCTTTCAACCTTTCTTAAACAAAATACAACGTTAGTCACCCTCCAGTCATCAGGCACCTCATCCGTAATTATAAATGATGCAAATATTTCTGCAAGGGGTCTCGTAATTTCCTCCCTTACTTCCCACAACGTTCCAGAATACATTAGATCAGGACCCAGAGATTTATCCACCTTTATATTCTCTAAGACCTCCCGAACCTCCTTCTCTGTAATGTGAACTGTTTTTAAAACATCACAGTTTATTTCTCTGCATTCTCTAGACTCCATTTCTTTCTCCGTAGTAAAAAACCCACGGAACTCAGGGCAAATTAGTGACATGGCTGGGAAACTGGTTGAACAGCAGATGACAGAAAATAGCGATGATCGGCAGGTATTCAAATTGGCAGGATTGTCTCCCAGAAGCATCTTAGAGAGTGCCTCAGTTATTCATGTTATTTATTAACAACTTGGATAATGGTATAGAAAGTTATATATTCCAATTTGCTGATGACACAAAGTTAGGCTGCATTATAGGCTGTTTAGATAATATCATAATAATATTATAAAGGTATATTGATAGACTTGGTGAATGGTAGATGGATTTCAATATAAGCATGGAAGATTATTCATTATGGACTGAAAAAGGATAGATGAGGATACCTTCTATAAGGACTTCAGAGGCATAGAATTTTGAAATGTCATGAACAAGTACAGAAAATAATTAAGAAGGCTAATAGAATGCTGGCCTTAATATCAAGACAACTGGAGAATAGAAATGCAGAAGTCATGCTGCACCTGTACAAACTCTGGTTAGACCCATCGGAATACTGTGAGCAAACCTGGGCACACCTTAGGAAGGAATTATTGGCCTTGGAGGGAATACGTCATTGCTTTACAAGAATAACATCTGGACTTCAGGGCTTAATTTCTAAAGGAGAGATTATACAAACTAGCTTTCTTTTCTCTAGAATTTAGAAGCTTAAGGGGTGATCTGATCCAAGTCTTTACATTATTAACAAGAAAAGATAGGTAGGTAAAGATAAACTATTTCCACTCGTTGGAGATTCTAGAACTTAGGGGTATACTCCGAGAATTAGGGCTAAACCATTCAGGAGAGATATGTTAGGAAGACTTCTACACACAAAGGGTGGTAGATGTTTGGAACTCTATTCCACAAACGGCAACAGATGTTGGATCAGTTGATAGTTTCAAATTTGGGATAGATAAATTTTTAAGCAAAGATATTAAGAGATACGGGTCAAAGGTAGGTGTATGGAATTCGGCCACAGATCAGCCACCATCTCACTGAATAGCAGGACATACTTGAGGTGCCGAATGATCAACTCCTGCACCTATGTTCCAAACTGTGAACTGTATGTAAAACTTCCTTAATCAACTACAGCAAGATTAGAAGAATTGTACTGAAGCTTAGAGATGAGAAATATAATTGTTCAGATACATAGAATTGTCTTTGCAGTCAAGTGAGTGCTGTATAACCAAAAACAAAATGGAGGAAAATCAAACAATACACACACACAGAATCCAAATGTACAGTAATCAGCATGTAGGTACAAACACAATGTAGAGAATTCACACTGTGAGAAACATAAAATGTTAATCAGTTGCTCCAACCTCAAATCAAAAGAAAACAAACCACAAGAGCTTTAAACTTACTAACAGAATTCAAGGCCCATGTATGAGCTGTAACAGTAACAGTATTCAATTGCAGAAATTCTGTTGAGACTTGAAGCCAATTGGAAAGTTTCCATTTTCTCTACTTATTCATGAGGACTCACAGCAGATTGACACTTACCTGCAGCTGTTTACGTAATTTGCTGCACTCTTCTGTCAGGAACTGTAGTTGGAGGCGACACTGAGCAGATTCCAGCTCTGCTTTCCGACGCATCACCTGCTCCTTCTCCAGATCACTGCCCAGGAGAAAGGACACAGTGAAGGTAAAAGGGACAAAATTCAAGCAATTTCCTATTTTTTGGGATGCAGTCACAAATGTGGCATAAATTTCAACCTCTTGCAAACAGCCAAGTGAAAGCGACCAGATCAGGTGTATTAATAGCAGTAGTTACAGGATAAATATTCACCAGCATATGGACATGAGAGAGCGAGAAGAATGCACCTCTGAATTAATGTGATCTTCTAAACACATGACGGTAGATGGGGCCTTCATTTAATTCTTATCCAAAGGGAGCAACTTGGAGCTCTCTCTCAATACTTCACTGGAATGTCAGACTTGATTACCTCCTGCAGTGGGGCATAAATCTGCAACTTTCTGATCTAGGTGAGCTTTGGAACCTGTTGTAGCCACGCCGCTTTGGGGCAAGTGGCGAATGGCAGGCAGACTCTTTCCCTGGGGAGAGGGAACATAGAGAAAAGAGGGAGTTTATCTCTAATATCCACTGGGGTCAGATTCACAGTGAACCTTTTCAAAGGATTGAGGTCAGGTGTTCTAGCCACATTTTCAGGCTAGTATTTTGTAGAATTTGGGCTAACTTGAGAACAGTGAAATAACACTGAACAGAATTCCTAAGTATTAATTGAGAATTAACAAATATTAATTAACATTTCCTAGTTACCCTTCTTTGCAATGCGTTGGGTAGACACTAAAGCAGGAACTTTAGAAATATCTGCAAGGTTGTTGCAAGACAAAGGAAAACCAAGCTATAACATTGCTCTGAATGTTGCCTTCTGTTTTCCTTCCATTGAACACTTATGGAAGAGTAGTTAGAAGTGATTTTTCAGAGTTTTCTCCTCACTCCCTGGGGAAACAAACTTGGTTTCTGCTGTGGTATCTCGACAATACACCCAAGATTGAAGTGCAACTAGATTTGCTGGAGCTGGTGTTATCAGTTCCTTCCTCTGGTAAGCAGAATCACTATGTTGCTATTATGCTGATAGCTGATATGCACTTGCACAACCTGGGGATGCCGGTTTTCCTAAGGGGATGCACCTAACCTACCCTCCAAGCAATCAAGAGGACTTGGCCTCAAGAGGAGAGGCTAGGAAGTTGACAACACTGCCTCAAGCATGTGAGGTGGCACTAACAGCTTCAGCTCTCTGCCTAATATTAAGGGATTCGCTTTATTTGACCAACTTTGTATTTTGTCTTTTAGAGGAAGCTCCTTAAACCATTTCCCTCAGCTTTACTTTAATTCACTGTCAGGGGATAAGTAACTCTGGCAAGATGAGTTGACTGGTCTTCCCTCTACAACTACATTAGCACAAATTATATACATAGCATTTAATATGCAACATGTGGCATACACAGATCCTGAAAAAATTGATGGTAGCAGAGTAGTGGAATACAAAGCCATTTAAGAGAGCAGTTAATCTCGGACCAACCCAATTGGGGTGGGAGTGGCATCTCATGAAGGCAAGACGGCAAACTTCCTTCTCTGACAGGTTGCATTTTTAATGACAATCCGAAGACTTCAAAATCACTTAAATCAATGTCAGATGGTTTACACTGAAAACTAGTCCAGTTACAGAGCCACTGCATTAAAGTGTCCACATCTACGCTTTAGATTCTGAACTTGGGTAAACTACCCCATGCACCTCCTTTGAATCATACACAACATCTCCCTGTGCTCTCTCAAACATGTGCACATCACTTTTTAAGCTTTGTGACTTGACCAATACAAAGGATTCCAAGTATGTCAGACCTTTCTCACGGTTCCTCCACAGGAGTTAGATAGTTTTTTGCAATTGTGAAAGTATGAGAGTCAAAGAAGTGAGAGTCAAGTATTTATGCATCATCAGCGAATACCTCTTCAATCGTTCTTGCTCACTGGTGTCCACAGCTTTCAAGGTTGGGGCATACAGCACCACCACATCTGACCGCTTAGCCTTCTTATTACACTGTAGAAGTCAAAAACAAATCAATTATAGTTCAGTTATAAAACAGCCTCAATGGATTAGACAGTATCACCTTTCCAAGAAAAAGGCTGCAGATGACCCAATTAAAGATTTTGGAAATTATGAAAATGACACGCTAGGCAGAGAAAGGATGTTTTCACTTGTAGGGAAAGAGCAAAGCAAGAGGCCATCATTGCAAAGTAGGCAACAAGAGTTAAAATAGCTAATTCAGAAAAAGACTTATCTATCAGAAGAGTATGGAAAATGTGGAACTCCGTACCACAGTGATTTAAGCGAGCAATGTACTTAAGGAAAGGCTACATTCATATACATGAAGGAGGAGGAAAAAAAATGCTTATGTTGACAGATTTAGTTCAGTAACAACTGGAGGAGGCTCAAGTGCAACCTAAATACTGACACAGTGGTACTATTGCTGACAATTAATCCAGAAACCCACATAAATGATCTGGGGACCCAGGTTCAAATCTCATCACAGCCGATGGTAGAATTTGAATTCAATAAAAAAGTCTGAAATTAAGATTCTACTAATGACCATGAAACTATTGTCGATTGTCAGAAAATGCCATCTGGCTACACTAATGGGAAGGGAAGGAAAGGAAATCTGCCATCCTCATCTGGTCTGGCCAATATGTGGCTCCAGTCAACAAGAAATTAAACCGGTACTGACTGGGGCACCAGAAAAGACAACAGAAGGAACCCTATTGTTCCTTCTCACTGACATCTGGTGGCTAATGCCAAAATTGGGACAGCTATCTCAAAGACTAGTCGAGCAACAGCCTGTGTTGACAGGCATACTCACAGAATCGTATGTGTCAAACAATGTCCCAGACAACACCACCATCATCCCTTGATACGTCCTGTTCCACTGGTAGGACAGCCCCAGAGGTGGCGGCACAGTGGTATACAGTTGGCAGGGAGCTGCCCTGAAAATCCTCAATATCGACTGTGGACCCCATGAAGTCTCATTGCTTCAGGTTAAGCATGAGCAAGGAAACCTACTGCTGGTTCCATGCACTATTCTCCCTCCACTGCTAAATCAGTACTCTGCCATGTTGAACAACACTAGGAGGAAGCACTGAGGATGGCAAGGGTTCAAAATTTATTATGGGTGAAGGATTTTATTGTCTGCCACCAAGAGTGGCTTGACAGCAGCACTACTGATTGAACTGGTTGGGTCCTCAAGGTCACAGCTACTAAACTGGGTCTGTGGCAGGTGGTCAGGGAACTAACAAGAAGGAAAAAATACTTGACCTCATCCTTACCAATCTACCAGCTGCAGATGCATGACAGTATTGCTAAGAGCAACCACCACACTGTCCTTGTGGAGATGAAGTCCTGTGTTCAAATTGAGAATACCCTCCATAATATTGTGTGGCACTTTCACCATGCTAAACCGGCAGACTTTGAATAAAGCTCGCAGCTCAAGACTGGACGTCAATGAAGTGCTGTGGGCCACCAACAGCAGCGGAATTGTACTCCAGCACGACCTGCAGCCCCATGGCCTAGTATATCCCCAACTCAACCATTACCATCAACCCTGACAGCAATGCTGGTTCAACAGAGATTGCAGGAGGACATGCCAGGAGCAGCACCGGGCATACTGAAAAATGAGGTGCCAACCTGGTGAAGCCACCAAACAGGACTGTTTGTGTGCAAACCGGCATAAGCATCAAGTGATAGGCAGAGCTAAGGTTCCTCTCAAAAGCAAACAGCACGCTTACTGCAAAGCACAATCAGAACTGTAAAATCTCGTTGAAAAACAAAATAAATTCTAGAACATTCCCACTCTGCTTGCTTTGAACTCGGTCAAGTTTACTTAGCGCTGTATGTGAGCACAAGGTAAACTACAAGCTAGCTTCAGGCTTCATTTCAAGTGTCATTTATTGCTCTCCTCCCTCCTGTAGAAATGCAGCAAAAACCATTACATATCAGAACAAGGAAGGTTGTAGCCAACATGGATTCCAGCTCAGTGGTTCAATTTATTTGGGCAGTTCTCACTATAGGGAAAGTCTAACAAAAATAGAAGTTTCTTTTATTGTTTTTCCCCAAAAGCATGCTGCAAACCTACCTGTGGACATTTTCCTCCTTGTTTCCTCAGCCACCGATCGATGCAGGTATAGCCAAAGAGGTGACCACACCGCAGAGTAACAAGACGGTGTTCTCCTGCATTCGTCCATGGCTCAAAGCAGATTGAGCACGTATTCCCTTCATCATCAAAGGCTGGCTTGGTGTCTTTGGCACGTGCTGCATCTTCTTTCACATTCAAATTGTCTTCTGAATGCAAGGTCGTACTGTCCTAAAGACAAAACATTCATTTAGAGGCATAAGGATTCTGCAAAACCTCTTTGGATCTATTTTACATGTTCTAATAGACTGCGTGATACAAGAACACCTTCTCAATCTCCTTAAACTTTAACAACTTTTTTCAATATTCTAAATCATCACTCTTGATCTTGTGAACTGTTCAAGATGGTTTTGGATTTACAACGCGTAATGCTTTCATTTGAATGCAGAAGGACCAACAACAAAAGTGGATTGAAGAATTTGTTCTATGTAGTACCCCACAGGAAGGAGTTTTCACTTAAGTTGCAACAAGCAAGGACTTAAAAAACCACTTCTGAACAGATCCCACAGCTTCCTTTCTGCTCTCTTTCATTTATTTTTTCAAGTAACTGTAGTGGATCAGCCTCTCAACTAGTGCATGCACAGGGAACCGTATCTTGATATCCAGTTCTCAGTAGCGTTCGTTACAACCACAACTCCATGTCAGCAGTTAATTGACCAAACATTCACAAAAATAATCCATGCATTTGGCTCCAGTTTCTTTTATCAATGTGTCCAGTATTAAAAACTAATCTTTTTATTTCAAGATTGAAACGATTTTACCACTTATTCGTGTGTAATGCAACAAAACCAAACTGAATATGGTGTGAAATCCAAATGCCTGGAAAGAGACCGTGTCCATTTATCCTCGAAAACAAGTTGTGTGCTTAACTCTCTGGAGTGGAACATGAACCACAACCTTGTGCATCAGAGCCAAGAATGACCACAGCTGACATGCTAAACTTACAAGTTACAAATTCCGTCAGTTATTTTGCATTAAAATACACTCCCATAACCCAAATCACCTCTCTCCCTATTTGTTCAATTCATCCACACACAGTCTCAAAAGTATAAGCAGAACTTGCAAGCCACTCCATAAAGAGTCACTTTATTGACTTACCATTTATTTTTCTCAGTCTGCTTAATATTGGTGGGACAATTGAGAACACAAGGCCATGTCCCAGCACCTCATGACCAATGTTTCTTCTGAGTGCAAGGTGATTTTTTTTTTTTAAAAAGGGTGCAGCAACATTCGGGTTGCTGCATAACTGCACGGCTTGGATAAAACATCGCTTTATACAAAATACTGGAATGTCAATCTGTGATATCCAAACCATGATACATTGCACACATCATCAAAGCAAACCAACTGAATAAAACATGAGCAGTCGTCTTATCGTCGTTCTAAATCCTAACTTCATTTGCCCATTTTGGTTCCATATTTCTCACTTCTTCATACCTTTAGCAAACAAAAACACGTATCAATCACTCCCTTTCTACATATAAACAAATTAGGAGCAGGAGTTTTAGCCACTCAGCCTTTCAAGCCTGCTCCACCAATCAAAACTATCAAGCCAATCTACTAAATTCACATTCCTACCCTGATAATGAGAATTGCAGGGATAAGGTGGGGATAGGGGTGGGGATGCTCTCAGGAGAGTTGGCGTGTACTCAATGAGCCAAATGGACTGTGTCCACACTGAAGGCTTTCTATGATTCTAGATCACAAATGAATGAGTGTGGAGATTTGAGGTAGTTCACTGGACAAGACATATACAGATTTTGAAATGGTTTACCTGCTCTTGATGCACAGATTGTGAATCTCCAGCCTCGACAACCTGAGCTGGTGAGGGATTAACCGGGGTTGGAGCACTAGCAGGAGCTGCAAAAATAACAAACAGACAGGATACTTATGATATGTGTCATGTCATTAGTTCAGACCATGAATAGGCACAAATTCTGTTTCTTTTAAAAAAAAAGAATGCCAGTACCTGCTGTTCCCTCACCATTAAAACACACTGCAGAAACACTACACTATTTTCCACAAAGGGAGTTTGTTTTGGCTACCTCGGAGGGCTACGAAGAATCAACCAGTGGGTGCAGGACTAGAGTTACATACATCCCAGATCTGGTAAGGGTTCCAATTATTTTCACAAAGGCCATTTGTGAATTGGTCATGTCTTTAAGATAATCTGACATCAGCAAAGTCACAAAACTATTTAACAATTCAGTTCAAGAGCAATCCTATGACTAAATGTAGAAAGCTTAACAACGTTAGGAAAAGGTCCCAGTTAAATTTAACTTAAGATATTCAAAAAAAATTTGAGAAGTTTGCTCATCATGAAAAGGTATTCTATGTCTCATTTCACTTCTATGTAAAAATGGATCTGGTGCAAACAACAGGTCAAAATGGCACCAGCATTCTAAGCACATGTTACTCCTTCAATGAACTGCAACAAATTTGTAAAACATGATTTCCCTTTCACAAAATCATACTAATTACCTCGAGTACAAAGCGTAGTTTTCAGTATTCTTCTGACCTTTTTAATTTCCCAAGCTAAAGGGCCACATTTATCTTCCCGAAGAAAAAAAAATTATAAACCTTCCTGCACTGCAGAATTTGTCAGAGATTTGCAAAAGAAACATGACTAAAAAAATGGCATCACCCAATAGTAGAAATTTCAAAACACGCTTTTCATATTTTCTGATATTTTGTTCAAATTCAGCATTACCTTTCACTTGCAATATTTCATCCATTGTACTCACAAAAGCATGGGTGATGTTTGGAACTTTCTTCCACAAATGGCAATGGACAGGAAGACTGAGGCTCCTAAAGCTTGTGTTTTCAAATAAACCTGTTGGGCTATAACCTGGTGTCGTGTGATTTCTGACCTTGTCCACCCCAGTCCAACACTGGCAACTCCACATCATACTTTTCAGCTAGACACAGCTAATTTTAACAAGATCAACCTTACTTAGAAACTGGAGAGCAATTTAGGCCATATTCTCCTTTATTTAAAATCCGCAATGTCCTTACTGCATTAGGTGCCTCTAAGTCAGCAAAGAAGCAACTGAGCTAATCTCCCTGAAGAAACACAGCTTTAATATCAACTCATTTTCATTTTCAAGCAATCACTAACAAAGCCAATAAAATCTCCAAAATTGGTTTCCTATCATAGGTGAAACTACTCATATGTTGGCCTCCTAGTTTTTCTTCAAAACCTCACAGCACTAACCTGGTTTTAACCTGAAATGTCTGATCAGGACACATCTTTTCCATGTTCTGTTTGATCTCCCTCTCCTACTAATGGCATCCTTTTCAATTGTTCATTTCATTCTAGGGGCCTGTTCACACAGGACGGCAGGATATGAAGCAAAATTATTTTTTCTGAATTGGAGATTGAAGATATGGACATGGGTGAAAGTTTGGACAAAGGATTATGTAACTTGCACGAATAAAATTGATCAAAAGGATGATTTTCTGTATGCTTGAGATGTGGTTAGGTTTTGACAAATGTAGTAGTGAAGACAGTTCTTCAGAAGAGTATGAATTGGAAGTAAGCAGACTGCAGAATAATTGATCTAGAAAGTTTCTAGTCTCCTGGCATTTAAATTATTAGACTACGCCAAAGTATCTACTATGGATAAACTTGTTGTTTAGAAGGGAATTAAATTTGCATATAAACATTGCGAGCGCAAATGCCAAAAGCACAAACATTTCCTTGGAAATCATCACTTCCCAGCAGTATTCACAGTGTAAATGAGGCAGTCAGCCATAAAATAAGTGAAGTACATATGTTTACAGGCTAGCAAGGCCACCTAGATAAAAGACACAGTCAACAGTTCACAATAATCTTTAACAAAAGAGAAAAGAAAATGCTTTCGGTAATCTTGTGATGAGAAGTGAATGTAGGATTAAGAATAAAAGAATGAACTGCAGAAATGCCCAGGATATAGTCAGTCGATGTTTCAGATGTGGTTCAAAGTATACTGCATTATCTCCAACTGTCCTAGATGTATTCAAATCTAAAGATGAATCAGAAGATGAAGGAGGAGGTATGGATCAAAGTAAAAGCATTGTCTTGATCACCAAAGTTTCAACACAGTAATAAATGTGCGAGTGGCAGAATCTTTGAGTTGCGCAATGTTAGATAGCAGGTCCATATCTACAATGTATGGAAAAGACTGGCTAAATTATTGAGGAATACAGTTTGAAATAAAGTTTAAAAAATTTGAGTGTTCCACCGCTTTCAGATTTGGGAGCTTCAGGAACAAATCAAAGTCTTTCAAAAGAAAACGGTCATTCCTTCTAAAATAGTTGGAATCAATCATTTTATTAGAAGACGTAATATAAATATTTTAAGCCAGAGATGACAAAAGCACATCTGAAACAGCATATGGAAAGCAACAAAGCTATTGTGTTTAGAAAATCTGTGAATGTGCAATAGATGTCCAGAATCCTGGCACTGTGCAGGCAGTTAGCCACCTGGACTCTCGCTCTTTGCTTCAGAGAACAGTTTCAATCACCCACCCGACACCTACAGTCACTACATTCCTTGTTGCTTCATCCTCCAATCCCACTTGAACTGTCTCTTGTATCGTGATGCTGTATTCAGTCTGCTCATTCATCCTGCTGTCCCTGCTCTCATCCAGAGATGGACAGTTCTGCTCTCTGGATTCTCTTTTCTGCCTCACTTGCAGTTACACCTTCACGTCTCTGACCAAATCAGAAGACCATATCCAGAGTAGTATGGCAACCGCTTGGTACAAAGCATCCAGGTAACCTGTCCCTTCCTTGTTGCATTACAGAGACTGCAGTTCAGCCTCCAGTTCAATTACTCTGTGCTGAAGTTCTTTGAGCCACAAATACTTATTATAGACATGTTTTTCTTGGATTGCAATGATATCCAGGAGATGCCAGATGCTGCAGCCTTGACACACCACTTGTTATGCTGTTTTACTGAATATTAATGAAATAATTATGTTATTCACTTATGTTGAATTTTATATATTTCGTTAACTTCACAACCAATTTGTATACCATTTTTGGACTTAATAATAGACCATAATCACTTAGGAGATACTCACAAAACAGCTTCTTGCTTTTCCTATAGTAGTGCAAGAACTAATTCCAAACTCTCAGGGTTCTCCCTCAGCTGCACTTTTCTCCCCCTCCTCCAGCTGCACTAAAAAACCCCTGTATTTGTAGCAGAGTGAACTGGGGCTAGACGACTTTTCATCATCTTATATTGCAACAGGGCAGCAATCAAGTGCTTCAACTAAATTGTAGCAGTTGACATGTTAAAAAGTCAACTTAATCCCTGTTCATTCTTCAATGGGATATTAATAAATACATTTGTTACTCTCTCCCAATTTGTGAAGAAATACCACCAAATGTCGCAATCACGACTGCACACATGTTGCTACATTCAAATAGCGACACATTATGTAACACTCCGGCCAGTTGCAGCAATTAACCCTAACCTCTCTGATAAGAGTATTCCTTAACTGCTGGGTGGTGAGTAGATGCTGGATATCAGAAGCAAAGTTCTACCCAGCCAACTTTTCCAATTCCTGATCTTGGGCTCAAAACAGGAACAAGAATGATCAAGTATAATGGAAACATGGAAGCAAGTTATAGAGATTTGAAATCCTAATAAAGATAGAAGAGGAATTCATTCTTTTGTGCTTTATCCTGCAAAAATAAAGAGGTGAATTTAAGTTTATCAAGTGTCAGTAAAACTTACTCACCTGACGAAGCTGCTGCAGACTCATCGCCCTCATATTCATCCTCTATTTCTGTGGTGCTGCCGCTCTCCTCCGACTCACTGAGATCAGTGCTCAGATCGGTACTCGAATCTTCGCTGCTCATCTCATCTCCGTATTCAGCTGCTGACCTAACCGATTCTGTGTGCTGCTGCCTGTTAACACGGAAGTAGTTGTCTAGAGCTCCAGATCTGGAAATAGGAGGGTTGCACGCAAGTCACATTCCATACAGCAGAAGATAAAAAGTGTTAGCAGCATTTTCAGTCAAAGCATATCTGTCTGACCTGCAGCTTCTGCTCCAAAGAGCTTTCTTAATTCATTTGGGACCTTTGTAAGTATTGATTCTGAGACAGAAACTAAGTGAAGCACAGCTGTGCCTTTGGGAGAGAGAATCAAGTACCAGTGCATCAGTATCTAGCTTACAAAGTCCTGGCTGTGAGAGGTTTAGGGTCTAAATCCAGTTTCTATTAAACTGGGGCAGCTCCATTTTCTGATCCTTCCCACAAACCTAGATGGCAGTTGGAAGTTTTTAAAGATGCAAAGCCACTTGTTCTGAACGTTTACGAGGACAATGCATCGATAGCTGCATTCTCTCTCTTCCAACATTAAATGTTCTTCTATCGTACATCAGCTGTTCTATTCTTTGAAAGCAAAGCTTCCTTAACACCATACCCATCAAATAATCCCAGGACAGGCACAGCATGGGATCAGACACAGAGCAAAGCCCCTTCCATGCCGCTCCCCACTTAACACAGAGGACAGGCAAAGCATGAGGCCAAATTCGGAATCAGTCGTTTCTAACCTGCCCATCCAGCAGAATCCCAATGCTGCTGCTGTTCTGAAAGTTAATTCTTGGGAATAATAGAATAATGTTACTGAACTAGTAATCGCATGGCTTGAATGAATGGTCTGGAGATAAATTCAAATTCCACCTCTTAAGGACTGGATATTTTCAGTTTGCGTTTTTAGAAACTGGAGACTGAAAGGAGGAAATGTCATCTGTATAATCAGCGTTTGAAAGGGTGACTGTAGTTTTGAAAGCAAGTAACCTGACATTCATTGCAGACATCATGTAAACAACAGTTTGAAAAAGCAGTAATTATGGGATCGTGTCTTACTGCTTTTGCTGGCAACAAGAACGTGATCAGTCTATGGACAAGTAAGCAGTTCTGAGAGACAAAGACAGACAGAGACAGATTTCAGTTCTTCCCCAGCTCAAAATCAATCTCTCTGTTCTCTGCATTCAAAAGTGACTATAAACCTGAAGAAAACCAGTTGATCTTTCCTGGAAGAGTCGTTGTAAACTGTGACTTTTAGCTGGTAAGTCACAGACTTTTTAAAGGTGTACCAGCCACCTTTTGTCTCCTGCCAACTCGTGGAAGAAAGCGGAGAAAGTCAATTGAAGCAATGTGCTGGCCAGTAGATTATCATAGGATCAACTCAAGAGTACCCAGGAAAAAGACTACTGAACTATTGTTCCTGTTTTTCTCCTGTCCATAATCTAATTATCCTGTTTACCTGCGTTTGTGTGTGTCAAGAGGAGTTTATAAGGGGATTGGAGTCTTAATTAGTAGTACTATATGCTGAGGAGTTTATAACTATTTACTCTAGTTAGTGTCTATTTATTTGTAATAAATAGCAATTTTCGTTCAGTAAAGAAACCTGGCCTATGCTTTCTATCAATCTGGGTCTGAAGGTCAGGTCAATTGAGGAACTTTGAGTGCTTTGTAAAATGTTTAACTTTTCTGATGGTTCCAGGAATAATGGGTCTCAACTCCCAGTGCACTGTCCCAGTGAGTCATAACAGTACAGTGCAGCTGAGCAAATTGAAATTCACTTAACCAACAGATTTGGAATAAAACGATAGATCATAAAACACTGAACTGTTGTAAAAAAGACTGTTGCTTACTCATGCTCAGGCCGAGAAATCTATCATACCACAACACACCACTGACTTGTTCCCTGTAGTTGGTGGATAAGTTTTGGAAAGCTTTGAGTGGAGTTCCTTGCCAGAGTATTTTCCAGCCTCATATCTGATCTTTGCAGTTAAAATATTCACGTGGCTGGACCAATTAAATTTCTGGTCAATGGTAACCCCCAGGGTGCTGATGATGGGAAATTTAGCAATGCTCATGTGGTACAACGTCAAGGGCAGGTGGTTAAACTCTCCCTAGTTAGTGATGGTTACTGCCCGGTTCTTACGCGATATGAATGTTACTTTCCCTTTAAAAACCCAGGTCTCAGTGATGCCCAGGTCTTGCAGCAAGCAGAGCCGAACTCAGTACCTAAGATGTTGTGAATGATGTTGAACTCTGCGCAATCGTCAGCGAATATCCACACCTCTGTTGCAAGGAGCTGAAAATAATTTGGCCTGGATGATTACTCAGGAACTCCTGCAGCAATCTCTTCTAATTAAGAAGATTAGTTATCTTCCTTCCTTGGTGGGATGCAGGCATCACTGGCAAAGCAAGCATTTGTTGTCCATCTCCAGTTACCGTTGATTTGAGTGGCTTACTACATCATTCAGAAGGCAGTTAAGAGACAACCACATTGTTGTCAATCTGGATTGACATGTAGGCCAAGCTAGGAAAAGACAGCTGATTTCCAAAAGGACATTCATAAACTGGATAGCCCTTTCTGATAACCTGGTAGATTCATGATAATCATTAACAAGACAGCTTGATATTCCAGATTTGTTCGTTGAATTTAAATTCATCTATTTGCCCTGATGGGATTGAACTAACGTACCGACAACACTTGTGTGAACAGTGAAGTTACTAGTCCAGTAACATTCGCACTGTGCTATCAGCCCTGTCATCTAATGTTCAATTTGTTGGAATGAGCCATAATTTCCCCTCACAAACAGTCCTGAAAATTATAATTTCTAGTCTCTTCTCTAAACTTATTGTGCTTGCACAATCTTGATTTTCTCATCAGCTTATTTGGGTATTCAATTCCACAATCTTTACATCTCCAAAATACCCACCTCCAAAAAAATTACCAGTCTCAGCCTTGCTACCCAGAAACCCATTGTTCATACTAGTATCATCTTGAGCTGCAATTTCTCCCAAGTCCTGCATGCTAGCCTCTCAATTTCCAGAGTCTCCAGCTTGTTCAAATGGTGGCTCAGTGGTTAGAACTGCTGCCTCACAGCACCAGGGACCTGGGTTCAGTTCCACCTTCGGGCGACTGTCTATGTGACATTTGCGTGTTCTCCCCATGTCTGCGTGGGTTTCCTCTGGGTGCTCCAGTTTCTTCCCACAGTCCAAAAATGTGCAGGCGAGGTGGATTGGCCATGCTAAATTTCCTATAGTATCCAGGGGTGTGCAGGCTAGGTGGATTAGCCACTGGAAACGCAGGGTTATACGGTAGGGAGGTGGGATGCTCTTCGGACAGTCAGCATGGACTCAATGGGCAAAATGGCTCCTCCGACAGTGTAGGGATTTTATGATTTAACTATCAGCAAGCACACACAAAAATCAGCCACAGTGCAACATTAACCTGTGCTGAAGCAGGTGACCACCAAACAGTTTCAGAGGTTACCTGGATGAAGAAGATCTCTGGGAAACACTTGTCCCTGGCTGACGGCGACCATTCCTCCTCAACTGCCTGCGCTGGTGTCCAGGTCTCTGTCCAAGGGAAAAGTGCTGGGCCACAGTTCTCAGTGCCCCTTGCAATCTTTGAAGTTCCTCAGTGAGTAACGCTGCTTCCAGCCCGCCACTGTGAGCAGTTGAAGGGGCCTCATTTCCAGGCAGTGCTCTTAACTCTTCGCCAAGGGGTGCAGTACTAGGGCCCTCCCCTGTTGGCATCGAAGCCGAGTCATCGAGATTCAGTTGTGTTGGAACAGTTTCCTCCTCTGGCTGCATATCTACATCGACGACTTGCTGAGCCATTCCTGAGGCAGAGAGGAACACAAGCCAGCCAATGGGAGGAAAGATTCTGCAAGTTCAGAGACATGACAGGAATAAGTATAAACATTTTAACATCGGAAGTGGTAGAGGCAGATACAATTACAACAGTTAAGAGACATTCAATCAGGTACAGGGATTGGAAAGGTTTAGAGGGATGTGGGCCAAACTCAGGCAAATGGGACTAAGTTCAGTTTAGGAAACCCCGGTCTGCATGGATGACTTGGGCCAGGGGATCTGTTTCTATTCTGTTTGACTCTATATAAATATGGTAGCCATGATGTGGAGGTGCCAGTTTTGGACTGGGGTCGACAAAGTCAGAAGTCATTCGACACCAGGCGACTTCAGCTGACGAGGCAGCAACGCTGCGAAAGCCTGTGATTTCAAATAAACCTGTTGGACTATAACCTAATGTGCGACTTCTGTCTATATAAATTGATAAGGAGCCCCTAAAGGAGGACTTCAGGAAGACGAAGATAATCGCTAAATGAAATGAATAAGATTGAGAAAGCGGCTCTGAGCAGAAGACAGAACGGGGGAAAGAGGACAGACTAGGATTCAGGTGATGTAGGCTCAGGGGAGAGTGGGTTGGGGGTTTGGGGGGTGTGGGATGATCTGGGAGACATTGTTTCGGGAGAGGGGTTTGGGAGCGGAGGATGGCGTTAAGGGCGGTTTGGAGAACGAGTTTAAGAGTCTGGGAATTAGGGCACAGTTGTGATCGGGGGGTGTGGAGGCAGAATGCCCGGGCGGCGAATGTTACGGACACCGGGAAGGTGTTGGCTTTACCCTCGGCTGAACAGCCTCAGCCCTGGGGCTGGGGCCTGGGCCTGTTGCCTACTCCAAACGGCGAGCGGCGTTTTTACACCGAGATGGAGAGATCAGCGGCGCCGGGACTGGGCTCCAGACTCGCTCCAACTCCAGCCTGGGGATCCGCAAGCCGTATTTAGTGACGAGAGAGAGAGAGCGGAGTCCAGTAAGGTACAGTTGGGCCGACGGGTGGATGAGAACAAGGCGACCCCGGGGGCCCGAGCGTAGGCCTCACCGCTCAGCCCCAACCGAAAATCCGCGCCACCTCCAAGGCCGCGGGCTACCGGCCGCCCCTCTCCGGGGGAGCCAATGGCAATGCGAGCTCACCTGCCACTCAACTGCCGTGGGCCAATCCGCTCTGAGATAGGCCTGTCAATCACCGCGCTGCCGCGGTTTATTCTGATGTTCCGGAACAGGTTCAATTAACGTCAGAGAAAGTGCTCCCACTTGGACTTTGCTGAGGTTGGCCAGGTTCCGATAGAAAAATTTAACCACAACAAAATCTTTATTTACATCGCGCCTTTCCCATCCCAAAGTGTTTGATGGCGGGGGGGGGGGGGGTAGAGGGATGGAAGAGCCTCTAGTTATGGGTGGCTCTTGAGTTTCCTTCGGATTTGCGCCGTACACAAAAAAGTGCCCCTTTCCATTTCCGTCACCGTTACTATGGGATCAGTTTAGTAGGGTGACAAAATAAACATTGAATGCTACCAAAACAAAAGGACTCCTTTACAACAAAATCAGGATTTCCTTTTTTGTGTTAATACCAATCCTATTGTCCCATAAATCAGGAGACAAACGCCAAGAAATATCAAATAAATCTGGTATACGATCGTGAGTTGTCATTTCTTTCAAACATAAACCAATTGTGGCGATTACCAAAGGAAAATAACTGAATTTATCAAACAACCTGCTGAATTAAAACCAAAACTACTGGCCAAATTTCCACTTTGCATAGTTTAGAAAAAAACAAAGTGAACATAAACATGAATAACAGCCAAACCACAATCAACACAGAGTGCTGCACTTGACGGAGCGTGACATTGAACAGCAAAATTGGAGCCAATGAGAATCAGGGATAAACCTTCAACTTGTTATAGTCATACCTGGCACATAGGAAGATGGTTGTGGTTGTTGGAAGTCCATCATCTCAGCTGCAGGAATTCCCCAGGGTAGTGCCCTAGACCTAACAGCTGCTTCGTCAATGACCTTCCCTCCATCATAACGTCACAAGTGGGGATGTTTGCTGATGACTGCACCATGTTCAACACCATTTGTGACTCCTTTGATACTGAAGCAGTCAATCTCAACATGCGACAAGGCCTGAACAATATCCAGATTTGTACTGACAAGTGGCAAGTGACATTTTCACCATACAAATGCCAGGCAATGACTATCTCTGACAAGACAGAATCTAACCATTACCCCTTGACATTCAGTTGTATCAACATAATTGAATCTCCCACTATTGACATCCAGGGGATTACCATTGACCAGAAACTGTCATATATGTATTTGGCTACAAGAGCAGGTTAATGGCTAGGAATTTTTCAGAGATTAACTCACGTCCTGATTTCCCAAGACTGTCCACCATCTATAAGGCAAAATTGAGGAATTTGGTGGAATATTCCTCACTTGCTTGGATGAGTGTAGTTCCAACAACAGTCAAGAAGCTTGACACCATTCAGGACAAAGCACCCCACTTGATTAGCACCACATCTAAAAACATTCAGTTCCTCCACCACTGATCCTCAGTAGCAGCAGTGTGTACCCTCTACAAGATGCTCTGAAGAAATTCACCAAGGTTCTTTAGACAGAACCTTCCAAGTACGTGACAACAACTATCTAGGAGTAAAATGGCATCAGATACGTGGGTACACCGCCTATAAGTTCCCATCCAAGCCATTCACCATCCATACTTAGAAATATATTAAAATCATAGAACTCCCTTCCATAACAGCATTATGGGTGTAACTAAACTAACTGAACTGCAGGGATTCAAGAGGGTTTTTCTTTATTCACTCATGGGAGATGGGCATTGCTGTAGCATTTATTGCCCATCCATAGTTGCCCTTGTGAAGGTGGTGGTGAGTTGCCTTGTTGAACTACTGAAGTCTATGTAGCTCAGCACCACCTTCTCAAGGGCGACTAGGAATAAGCACTAAGTGCATTCCCACAGCAACACCCGTACCCTGTAAGTGAATAAAAAGCAGTGGTCCTACATGTAAAAAACCCACATTCAACAAATATAGATCTCAGGGATCTATTTGGCTGCGAACCCAGCATATCCTGCCACAAGATACATCAATAGTCTGAACTTCCCAAGGTACAATTCCAGCTCCATTTCTTCAATGGTTTAGCAGAAATCCAGCAGAACCTATTCCCACCGCCACCCCCCCATCAAATTTTCACAGGCATGGTCTTCACCAAAATGTTGCAATCACTCAACCACATCAGACTGACTCACAACAATCTTGGTAGTATGGATCCATCTATATTTCTTTATCCAAATCCTTAGAGCCAACCCTGTTCAAAGTATGGCCAGTTCTGGTTAGTCAGTTACTTTAAGTAACAGCACTTTGTATTTGCTTATTGTCCACTCCTAGATCTTCATATTCTTTTCCAACTGTGCCACACTCTCCTTTTCTTCTTTCCAAATCCTTGGTTTGCTGAAGCCTGTTTCCACCACAACCTTGGATCATGTGGATCCCTATTACCCTTTTAACGCCCTACCCTATGTCCTTGGCAATGTCACTCTCCACGGCTCCAACATTTCAAAGCAGTAGAATCCCTGGCTTTCTGTCCAGACCTGTGACCCACAGACAATCCTGCATTGTCAAACAGACAGCACTGACAATGAAAACCCCATCATAGGCTCTCAGCTTAGTCATATTCTGGCTTTCACGTACACTTGTTGTATTTCACTCATTATACTGAGTCTGTATGGATTACAGTTCTAAGCACTTGAAATATTGAATAAATTGCAGCAGGTTTTGTGTTTTGATTGAATACTAGACTATCACTGCCACAGTGCTAGATATTATAATAGACCAGAATTTGAGCGACACACTTTTTAAAGAAGGAAATTAAAATCTATGTCGAAAAGCATGTCAATTAACAAACAGAGTCAACAGTGTTCATCAAAATTAGCCAAATGTTTTGATGGTATATTTAAGCTAGTATGTTGTGAGGAAGAAATAATGTCTGCAAAAGGATATGTTTAAAGGATTAAAAATAACACATGAATCACATTTTGGGAAAATTGGAGGAAATACATTTTGGCGGAATGTTATTTAAATAGAGCGTGTCTGCTGAATGCTAGTAATTGGCTATTTTCAGTGATCACAGTTGCTGCCCATTAGCTAACTGTACTACAAACTTTATCGCTGATTGGCTGATTGTGTAGCCAGCTTGAAGTGGCCATTAGCTACTTTCACAATTATATTTAACACGTAAGAGAAGGTAACATCCATTACAATCCATACTAACTTTCTACTGGCAGACTCACTGATGAAGCGTCTAATGGCAACAGGCTGCTGTAAGAACACTCCCTCATAATATAATGAGGTATTAGTTGTAAGGAAAGGGTTACTGTCCTTCTGCAACTCATTCATGTTAATCTCCTGGAGATTATCTGATGGTAGATAGGAGATGTAAGAGAGCAAAAAACAATGAGAAGACAACAGGAAAATCAAATCACTGTCCTGATTATGTAATCATTGTCACACATCTAAAACCTCTTCAAGACTGCAGCACTCAGAATGTGCAAGGTTAATTTATGACTGCACATGTAGGTTCTAAGTTGAGAGACTCTCTCAATGATTATTAAATAATAGGGACTATGTCCTGTGAGAGCAGAGAGTGGGTCCATATTAACCAAAGAGTGATGATGAATTCGAAGTAAGCATCATGAGACAGGTTGCTCGATGAGGAGAATGAAGGGGACAGAGTCATTCATATATTGTGAGCCCTAAACTGTTACTGATTTAGGCAAGAGTTCACATTGTTAATTACAATGATTAGAATGTTGGGAATGATCAGCAAACTAGGCAGCTAAGTTAGCAAATAAATAATGTACTTGTAATATTTCTGATGATTGTTGATATCTGAGTGAGAAAGAGCAAAATAGTGTTTATCTGATGCAAATAAAGGAGAGAATATATGTCTATCACTGGTAATAGGTGTGTGAGTGAGGGCATTTGTATCTGTGAAAGGCATTAGCAGATAGTTGCACAAATACCCATGTCGGGTTTGTGTTTGTGTGTGTGTGAGAGAGAGAGAGACAGTAGGTGTGTGGCAGAGCAGATGGACGTGACAACAGCTGTGTGAGAGAGCAGGTGTGAAAGAGCAGATGAGTGAGACTGCAAGTGTGTGTGAAGTGTGTGTGTGAGAGAGAGAGTGACAACGCAGAGCATAGGTGCGTGTGAGAGCAGGTGTATGAAAGGCAGGTGCATGTGAGAAAGTCGGTGTATATTAGAGAGTTGCTAAGTGTGAAAGCAGGTCTATATGAGAGTAGCTGTGGGAGAAAGCAGGTCTGCATAAGGAAGAACAGGTGTGTGAGAACAGATGCATGAGAGATCCGGTATGTGAGACTACATTGCGTGAGAGAGCCACAAGAACTCATAGACATGTGCTTTGGCACATAAGCCCAGCTGTGCTTGACAGCAGGAATGTGACAGCAGGTGTGTTAGAGCCCAAGTGTGTGAGAGAGCAGGACTGTGTGAGGTCAGGTGTGTGAGAGAGCAGGTTTGAGTGAGAGCAAGTATGTGTGTGACAACAGAATGTGAGAGTGGGTGTATGAGAGAGCAGCTTTGTGAGACAGTAGGTGTGTAAGAGAACAGTTGTGTGTGAGTGCAGCTGTGTGTGAGAGGATGTGTGAGATAGCAGCTGCATTGGAGAACAGATATGTGAGACAGTAGGTATGTGACAGACCAACTGTGTATAAGAGAGCAGATGTGTGAAAATGCAGATGTGTGAGAGAATAGGTACATGAGAGCATATAGATGTGGAGCTGGAAAAGCACAGCAGGCCAGACAGCATCCAAGGAGCAGGAAGAAGCAGAGGGCTTTTAGGCCCTCCTTGTGGGGGATGCAGGTGTAAAGAGACTGTATGTCCATGGTGAAGATGAGGTGTTGGGGGTCTTTGAGATCAGGTGCGCAAGAGGGCAGGTGTGTGAGAAGCCCCTGTCTTCTGTATTACGATCTTATCCTAGGGTGTCGTCTCCACTTTTCACAGGGCTCACCAATCACATTGCTAGGCATCATCTGTTGGAATTT